TGCTGCGGGGGCCGGGGCGGCCCCCCTCCTAGCTGCAGCGGTTCCCAGCGCTCCCGCGGATCCCGCCCGGGGCCGCCCCACTGTGGCCCCCGCACTGCCCCGGGCGGAGGTGCGGCGGTCCCGGGGCTGGGGTGAGACGTGACGGGGACCCGGGAGCAGTCGTGGGCGAGAGCTGGGCGGGCCCAGGAGGCTCCGGGCCCGGTTTGCGGCCTCCCGGCTGAGGCAGGGTGGGGCTGGGCCTGCCCCCCGGGTGTCAGTCCTTGCTGAGGAGAGCACCTCTCTTCCTAGCCTTAACATCCACCTCTTCCCGAAGTTTTGCCTCTTGCAGAAGAAACCCGGATTTCCCTTGCAGCGCTCGGGAAGAGCTGCCTCTTGCAAGTCCCAGGTCCGGTCTCCAGGCCGGCTGGGCCTCACCTGAGCTTCCCTGTACACTTGTTCGCTTAGTAAATCAAATTATATGAAATAGCCAGGGAAATTGCCTTTGACAGCGTGTATGGGGCAAGCTCCAACCCAGAAGGCAGCAAAATGTCTGTTCACCCCAGGGACGGGCAGTCTTAGACCAGGCTGGACTTGGATGGTGGTAGGTGTGCTGCTAACTAAAATAACAGTCAAATCTCGTTTGGATCTGCTAACGCTGTTGTGAAGGCACACATTGTGATTACATTTAAATAAGGGCAAGCTAATTTAATGACTGCTAATGACACTTGTAGGTACGTGAGCAAAAATAATAAGAGAGTGAAGTGTTCATCTTGAAGGTATAAAGGCCTCCTTGCACGTTTAGCATGGAATTTTCCTCTGGCATTGCACAGTCAGGTGGGTGTGTGTCCTGGGTGTCTGGCCTTTCTCTGAAGTACCAGGGGTTGGCTGCTGTTCGATGCCAGACTTGATCAGCCAGTGTTTCTAGCCCACACTGCCAAATCTTGCATGTTATATAATGAAACTGAAGCATGGGAAGAAATTTACATTACATCTCTTTTGGATGGTGTTAGGCCTTGTGGCCTAGTATATAGCAAAACATCTGAGTTCTCTTTCAACTGGGTTAAAACCCTAAGCAAGAAGATTGCTGTGGAAAGTAGGCTGGGCTTCTTTGATAAGTAAAAAGACTGTGGCAGCTTCCTCTCTTGGAACACTTATGGTTTTGCTTGAAGGGATTGTTGCCAAGATTGGTAAGCTTGAGGGGTTTACATTTGATTTGATCTGGGCAATGCTATATTTCCATGTTTTTTCTAGGTGTTTCCAGGCTTCATGAATCAAAATACTCTGTCCTGCAGTAGACTTGCACTTGGTGTTGTGTTTGGCTCAGCCGGAACAGACCTGGAGTGAAAGTAAATTGCTCTGATCACTGTCATCCTGTCCTAACTGTTGGGTTAAGGACAGGTAACCCAAAAGGTACAGTAACCCAAAAGGTACAGTACAAGCACAATCTTTAAGGGGAGATAGAGGCTAACATTTGCCTTTCCCATACTTAGGCATTTGGACATCACAATCTCGTGCCCAGAGTGCTCCCTCGAGAGCAGACTGAAACTAACCAAGACTTGCTTACTGCTTCTTAGCTGCTGCTTCTGTTAACTTTACGGTTGAACCAGGAGCAGCAGCATTAGTCTGATCTTAAGGATGGGAGAAAATAATCTTTGAGAAGAAATGCACTAAGATGCAGGGTGTGTCTAGGGCAGTGGTACTCAACCTTTTCAGATTCAAGGTATCCCTTGAAATTTGGGGCACCTCTCAGAAAATGCCAGCTCTTACCTGCACTTGTTTCTTGATGGGAAAAGTAGTAGAGCAATTTTTTTGCAATAGAAGAACTCAGAAGACCACAACAGGTCAGAATGGTTTTGATTTTATGGGTTCCTATTTGAAATCTTGTGAATTGTACAGGTGTTTTTACACCTAACAGTGCTAATAGTGCAGTGTGCTGTGCAATATCCTAAAAAGAATCTAATGGCACCCCAGGGTGCCACGGTACCCTGTTTGAGAATCACCGGTCTATGATTTGGAAGATGAGGTCCACAAGTGATATATGGGGCTGCGTTGCTGTTCCACGCCAAATGTGTTTCCTTGATTTCTGGTGCTGCAGTGTCTGGGTGCTCCATGGAAGCAAAGCAACCAGACATTAGGGGAAAAAGATCTCATTTGTTTACTAGCCAATACTTTAAGCCAACAGAAAAAGGAAACAGATGCAATATCTTACTGTAGGTTTTTAATTTGTCCCTCTTTAGCTAGGCAGAGTCATTGAGAAAGTAGGGCTATCCCAGGAGATGCCTTTAACCCAGAAAAAAGGAAGAAGAGTGAAATAGGGGTGAGACACCAATACAGCAAGAGAGAAACAAAGGGAGGAGAGACGTGTGCAGAAAGTGAGAATGAAGATCAGGCAAAAATTGAAAGGAAAAAAAGTGATTATGGCATTGTGGGGATAGATTGGATTTCAGGTTTTTGGTTGTTACCCTGATGCAATAAATAATCAAAAGCAATAAGATCTCTTCCTCCAGTGGTCATTTCTTTCTCAGCCCATGGTTGCAAGTTTGAGAGAGCCAGTTTCCTCATCCAGCTGGCAGCAGTCCCATTTAAGAACAGTTCAAAATGGGTCTGCATTCATGGGAAGTTGGAGCAGCCCATCTGATCTCTATATTTCGTTGTTAATCGACTCAGCTTGGTGGAAGAAAAAAAAAGTGAACATCAAAGTCATTCTGAAAGTCCTACAGCAGTAAATGAATGTGTGCTCCTACAGTCTAGTCTTCATGATCAGCCTATCCACAGTAACTGCTGGATGTGAGAGCATAGCATTACAGCAGAGGTTCCCAATCTGTGGTGCAGGTACCACTAGTGATACACAAACAACCCATAAGTGGTACACGTTAACAGATTTATTATAATTAATTTATATGACAGAAATTTCTTGGTGGTACTTAAGGTTGAACTGAAAAACTTGTTGGTGGTAAGGCTGTATCATTTTAAATTGGTGGTGCTCAATCTATCAGAGTTTGGGAACTGCTGTACTACAGGTCAAGGTGTCTGTGATAATGGGGGTGAAAAATGTTGGTGTAGAGAGTGATGGAGAGATTTCAGTTTCAAGCTTCCGTAAGGTTACTGTAGAGCAATTTATTTTTCTTAATGTTGGGGGATTGCCAGTGTCATCATGATTCAGGAAACTAAGTGATCAAACAGCCTTGTCGTGTGTATAGAAACAGTGTTTTTACAGTCCTTTTTGTGGTGCTGCAACTCCTAAATATACCTGTAGAGGGAGTCTTACAATTTTTTTCTGTAGATTGTTTTCATTGTTTGAAAAGAGTTGTGAAACCTGGGTTTCTTGCTTTTAGGAATCAAAGCCTTCTTTGATACTGTCTTTTTTTCAATACAGAATATATATATATTCTGAAGAGAGAGAGAGAGAGATGTATCTATATAAAAATATTCTGTGATGTCATTAGTTGGTACAGTGGGAAGATTGTGAAACTTCTGGGGAATACATTTGCAGAGCAGCCGTCTTGTCTGATATGTACTCTGGCTAAATTATGGTTCTTTGAATGCAGGGCTCACATATTGGGGAACAGCGGCTACAACATTTGTTCAAATGTTCCTTGTTCTTGCAGGTGTTCTAAGGAATTGGAACCATGACAGACTCCAAGTATTTTACAACTAATAAAAAAGGTGAGCTTTAAACTATTCCAATGTATTGGAGGCTCCTGGGGACAGTGAGTGCCTATTTTAAAATGATGTTTTTAACTCCGTACAATAGAGTTTGTGCTTTCCTATATGCTGTGTCCCCATTTCTCCTCTTAGTCATCCAGAAGCTCTTCAAAAGTAGGCCATAAAACAGTTCCCGAACACCCAGCCCCCTCCCACACAATGTCAAAAGACAGGATTGATGAATTGAACATGCTTTCAGTATGCAAACAAGGCAGCCTCAATTACCTTTTCTGGCTCTGTATTACTTTCTGGAAGGTCAAAAACGGAACTTTGGGATTTGAAACATATGCCTTTTAGACATAGAGGTAGAGATTTATATATAGGGCGAAGTGGTCGGGACTGCAGGCAGTGCGTTTAAAAGTGGACCTAACTAGAAGCGTGCTTGGGTTAGCTGGAAAGGAAAAGCAGAGTTTAAGGATGCAGACTTGTCTGTGTAGTTGTAGCCATTTGGAGTGTGGGGAAAGTTGGGCCACAAGTCTCAGATATGTGTTTTTAAAATATTGTGGGTCTCTTCTGGCTGCCCCCTGCCAGTCCTGGTGAAATCTACCAAAGAAGGAAGACTCATGCACTTTTCTCACCTTTGTTCTTCACATGACTTCCTCTTGGGTGTATAGTAACTATGATGGCTGCCTAGTGATATACTATAAAATGTGTTGAAAAGGGAGGTTTTTTCTGGGTAACTTGATTCATGGGCATAAAAAAGGAATAATGGGCATAAAAAAGGAATAAATCAGGGTAGCTGTGGACTTCCTCCATCTTTGTGAAGTCATTTTTTCTTGGTTTAACTTCTGGCATAAAGGACTAATGGAAATTGTGGACTGTTCATGCCAGACCCACTGAACTTGGCCTTTTCCAGTCACAGTGGGCCTGTTGAGCTAATCCTATATTTGATGCTGCCAAGATCAAAGTCCTGATTGAGGGGAGAATGTTGGTTTGATTATGTCGTCCATAGCCCCTCTACAGTGAC